CACTCGCTCCATTCCTTACTGGACTCTCTTCTCTTCTGCGTGACTGACTTGGTTCTGATTTACGTGTTGGTCACTTCTTCAGCTTCCGCTGTCCGCAGGTTAGCATTCCACAGCTGAACACTCAACTTCTAAATTCTCTTACGAATCACTCGGCCGTTCAAAGTCAAAGTCAGAGTTACTTTATGACCGGCTGTTTACCACCAATCAGTTCGCCTTAGCGTCAAGCCCCTTGAGACCCACGACCAGAGATTTTTCTTTCCAACTGAACACTTGCGGTAATATTCCCTATGTAACATCTTCTCTAACGAGAAGATTGGTTCGTCTCTTATGAATATGCTTGGCCTTTCGTAAAATGTATATTTCGCACATATAGCGTGTTATTCAACGAATGAATCAATCGTTCTCCTCTGCACTGCTCCTTATGTAGTCCAGCGGTAACCATGGAAAATATCTATTGCCTGTCTGTTGTCACGGAGACACGCCTTGTACTGAATTAGTCTGTAGGGATCTACCATCGTAAAAATGTGTGTTAATTTCGCGAATATTCGTTGCTGCTGGAACGTCACAATATTTTCTTAGGTTGTAGTGACACTACAGTTAGAAGGGCAAGAAATAACGGAAGCAATTCGTTGGAGCACATGGCCCTTGAGAATACTCCGTACATGCTGGTAATGAAGAAATTCCTCTAGTTATATGAAATCCGATTGTTCATTACCGTGTTCACATGAACCGTCCACGGAATCTGTTCTGAGCCATTCTAAACTAATTCACATGAGCATTCATTTTAATTATTCTCTCATCTCTCTTCGGCATTCCAAATTTTCCTTTCCTTTCAGTTGTTCCGACCACAATTTTTGTGCATTTGTTATGCCCCATCTTCTGAGCTTTGATCATCCTAAAACATGTTTGGCGAAGTTTGCACATTATAAAGCTCCTTATAATATAATTTATTTACAGGAAAATTATTCCTTGCATTGACATAATTCACCTAAAATATGTGGGTAACGACTTCTTTAAAGTAAGAGGAACGTGGGATATATATATACACACATACATATAGAGTGAGGCTCTTACATCTCTTGAGCGATTCACGGCTCTGCGCTTCGCGGCGACCGGTGCACCGCCGTCTTCAAGACGCATAAGAAGTTTGCCGATTAATCGATATGCCTGCTGGCCGATAGCGTTTGGAATGAAGTAGTTACAATTCACGTACCACAGATGGGGTTGCAAATGCTGTTCCTCTCATTTGCGGATTGATCTCACCTTCGACGACAGACCGTAGAAACCAACTGCAAAAATGAACCCTACTAGCCGAATCGCGCTGCTGCAAAGCGTGGATTGCTGCTGTTTTATAGGTCCAAGCTTCAGTAATTGTGTTGCCGTTCTTGCGATACTCTTCGACACTCCTGTCTAGACTTTTCAGTGATTTTCTAGGTGTATGTTCAAGCCTGGCCCCTGTGCCGTCTAACTTCCCCACAGCAAGCACTCAGCACTTATGTTTTTGTTTCTCGTCTGTTAAGAGTCCCGTTGTTCTAAGTTTCTTCACCAAATTGTGAATTGTTTGTCTGCTGGGCACTCTTTCGTTACGAAATTTACGTCGAAATTTTCGCCGACACTTTCCAGCAGATCCGAATTCCACATAGGTCTCGTACAGAGGTACGTGTGTTGCTCTAAAGTATATCGCACTATGACGTACCACTGTTTACCAAGAGTAAGAGAGAACAAACGTTTTTTTGAGCTGGCACCTGCAGCTCATTGCACGAACCGCACTCCTCGCCGTGAAACATAATTCCGTCAAGCGGTCTAATATTAATAACTTCCCTTAATTCCAAATGTTATCGACCGTCAGGCATACTTATTTATCGACAAAATTCATATGCACCTCGCAACCGGCGGTACAACGGACGCCGTGAAGGCCAGAGACGTAAACCAGTTAACAAATTTAAGAACCGCCCTGTCAAAATATCAAAAGGAAAAGTTCCCTCCTGAGAAACACACATGTTAAGGTTTTTCCGAAAATGTACTTCTCGTATTCTTGTCATGGCTAGTTTCTGAGTTGGTACGTTTCAATAATTGTAGATTATTGCACAAAGAGAACTCTGATTTTAATACACGAGAAAATTTGGTTCCTGTATAGAAGAATCTTGATTGGGGATACTGAGAACGGAACACTCAGGAAAGCTGCTGTATCTAAGAGGCAGGAAGTGAAAGGTAAACGGAGAAAACTGTTCCACAACTTGGAAGATTCTCCAGTTAAATTTATGAATATTGAATCAAGGAAGACGAGATGGGCGGATCATGTAGCATCTATAAGGGCGATGAGACGTGGATAGACAATACTGATAGTAGAACATGAAGTGAATAGAGTACCCGAGAGACCTAGAAGTAGAAGAGAGCATAATATTAAAATGTATCTAAAAGTAGTGTGTTAGGATTTGGACTGGACTGGACTGAACTGACTCGGAATACAATCCAGATATTGGCTCTTGTGAAAGCGATAATGAACCTTCGGATTTTATAGAGAGATGAGAATTTTTAAGCGGCTGAATGAATACCCGCTTTCAATGAAGCGACATCCATCATGGAGCTAGAAACAGAATTTCATTGAATATAAATTGGAATTAATAAAATATAATAAAAATTACTTCATCTTTCAAAATCCAGTAGCAGTTTCAAGCATTTTATCATATAGTAAATAGCTGTACTGAACTAGAGAATACAACTGAGTTATCAGAAGTTTGTAAAGATGTTAACTATGCCGAATATACGCTTCAGCTACGGAATTTTCCGTCACCTGCTACAAACTTCAAGAGCGCCATCTTGCGGCATTAAAGTTTGACAGATTTCCTGAAACAACAACAAAGATAAAAGTTTCGATCTTTTTAACGGGCATGAATAAATAAAAACAATTTCCTCCACTTCGCTTCTGTCCCCTCTCTGCTCCGAGGTTCTACTCAGTCAATATAATAATGATAAGCACTGAAACTGATAACCCTTGAAAATTTCTGGAATTTAACCCTCTTCTTTTGTGAGATCCAGTGCTATTTGTCACAGATATCGTTCCTTAATTTCATATTTTTGCTTCGTGGACCATGAAAATGGGCCCGAAAATCTGATTCTTCTTTTATGTAATAATGCACTTTAAATACATGAATTAGAAACAATAAAATGAGAGGTATGTGGGAGAAAGCGGCCCTGATATATTTCAAGATATTGTGTCAGCTTTCATCAGGAATGACCGAGAAATATTATGAACAAATACTTCTACCTCCGGACCGAAATTCGACTCTGAGATCCCCCCCGAATATGGAGAACTAACCACTCAGCCACGAAGTTCTGTGAGTCTGAAAGGCAAATGAAGAAGCCATACCGAAGTATTTAAAATGACAAAAGCAATGAACACTCGCTACCTCCACCCACTGCGTTTTGATTAAAATAATAATGAAGAAAGCAGTTTTCTGGGATGTAGCACCGTGTAGATGTGGTGCTGACCGACGTTTCGCAGGAACGTATCGCCTCCATCTTCAGGATAGAAGGAAAATACGAAATCCGCGAGCGAAGAGACCGTGAGAGCTCTCACCTGATGACAACATCAGGAGTCGGCGTGGCCATGGAGACCGTTGACGCAAAATCGCTAATTGCACTACAGACTAGCAAATAAGTGCGAGCTGGTGGAGTAAGCCTGTAGAAGTGTTAAGAGGCAGTGTGCACGTAAATGTCAGGGTTCGAAATTCAACATTCCAGCGAGAAAAATTATCCATGGAGCTGAATCCTTACGAAGGAGATATCGTCGCTTAGCTGCTCACGAAATATCTTGGATTTTATGGAGCCTGAAATTTCATTACTGTGTTGAAAACAGCCAGCCACTGTATATGGGCACCGCCAAGACATTCTCAGAGATGTGGAGAACGTGAGCAGATTTGGTTACAAATGTATATTGAAGCCATTTAAGGATATATGTGCGGATTGCCCTGGAATGCTAAGCCTTTAGTGGCGAAGGGATTTTTCAAAACAATTTTAATTATCGATATTCAAATTTGATGTAACTTTTTTCCTTAAAATTTTATAATTTCTCAAAAGATGAAAACAGTAGATGGTTTGCTTGCCCCTTTTTACCTGTGTCCATACCACTGGACCATATTCTGAGAGATATTATTGCCCAGTCACTGCTTACTGGAGATATGTTGCAATAATATCCTACATATTGGAAAAGGTCTGTTCCTTTCGCGTTTCATCAAATGTTTCTTTTGCACTTCTCATCTTTCTATATGTGTCTGTCTCCTTCTAGTTCATCCAAATTAGGCCCAAGTATTTTCATCAGCAGCCTATTTCCAAATACGAAACGAAACGATGATTGGAGAAATTTTCAGTATTATATTTCATCTCTGCAGTACTCGTATATGAAGGTGGGTAGTTAATTTCACGTACCCGCCGCGTTACACCCGGTTTAACTTATTTTGGTAATAATGAATGCTTACAAATTTAACATGACTGAGAAATTGAAAGTACACCGTCAGCAAACCACTTTATTTCGAATCACCATTTAGGATTATTTTGCTCTGAAAACAAGATTTGTTGGAAAGATATTTAAGAAGAGATGGCCATCATATTAAACGGGAATATTTTAAATAAGATAGTACATCAGTAAAGGAAAGAAAAAATATAAGTGAAGCAGAGACAATTTGACAGGAATTGGATATCAAATTATTTACCCTACTCTCCTCGCTTTCTTACGAAGAGATTGATGGAAAGCATAGCTATCACGGCATTCGCATCTGAGGGCTGTGGAATATACAGCGGATGTTCGTGTACTAAGCAATTTATCTCAATCACAATTAACTAGCCCCGCACTGTGTCACGTATTGTGTAGCGTCCCGATTTCCGCGATACGCTAGACGCCGGCGTCCGGACAGCAACGAACATTCAAGCTTTATACTGCACTAAAGCGTAAGCATCTATTCAGTCGTCCGCGCGCCGCGACGCTTGTGGGACGCCAGAAACCTCAGTACCCTTCAAACACTCGCATTCGTTTATATCCGGGATATTTCGACTCCCATCGGATTATCGAGGTCGCTACACCAGGAAAGTCAGTGGCTCAATCGTAGTTTGGTTTCCGTTATCAGAATGCGTCGGGCTTTCAGAGGGCGCCACCAGCGACAGCCTTTGCTGGGAGAAACGTAGATGCACTAGTTTATCTCTTCTGAAAGTGATACTGTTCAGACAACATAAACGAAAAAGTAAATAAATAACCAGTGAACTTATTATTTTAGAGACTTAAAACTAACTAATAAATTAGACAATTAAAAATTATTTAAATAAATATTTATTTATTTTACACTTCAGTTATGAAAAGAGTTAAAGGATGAGAACTTGGCAGTTGCATCAGAATGTTTGCACCATAACTCGAGTAATGATGGTGTGAAACTTCCTAAGAAATTACCCTTACAACATTTCATGCTTCCCGTTTAAGTTTTCTTTCCTGCATTTTCCAGTTATCATTTATGTGGTCATCGGGGATAAATTATTATAAGCACAATCACAAAAATGAATCAAAATGTGATTATGACGTAGGATATCTGATGAGAATTTACCGCGCATTTAGCGAGAACTTGCTAAACAGTAGTATCAATGATAACATAAATCATACATCATGTTTGGTGGACAATAAAATAAACGATTCTTTCGTATGTTCGATGCTTTGGAATGAAACTGCGTCTGTGTTTGATGAGAGTACTGAGAATTCAAGTGCAGGCAATGTGGAAGATAATGTCGCCTTAAACTTGGGTCTGGCGGTGCCTATGGGGATTGTTATGTACCTGCTCAGTCTTGTAACAGTGGTGGGCAATGCTATGGTCCTGCATGCCATCAGAACAGAGCGTCGTCTCCAAACCGTAAGTACTATCACTCCAACAACAATACTGGTGTTAGCTAGTTTATACAGTTTCATTTTATCTCTTCCTACTTCTGCACCAGCAGTGGAAATATTTTCTTCAAAATAACAATGGATAGGCTGCCTCGTTTCTATAATTTCGGCGTTACGCGTCTGTATAATTATCCGAATAAGTACGAGAGGCCAGATTTAAGGGGAGAGGCCGGGGCGGCCACCCCGTCGCCTCAAAATAACTAAAAGAGAATCCAAGAATTTTGGAATATTTGCTTCTCTCAAATCGCAAGATATTACTTTGTATTCTAAATTATCACAAGAATTAAAAGATAAAGTTGTCCCTGTACTGAATTAATTACCGTATTGACGCATGTATAGGCCGCAGCACAATTTTCAGACAGAAATTATAGAAAAAATAATTTTCTTGGAATATTATTTCTGGAGTATTACACCCTGTATTACTAATTATGAATATATTTTTTTAAAATGAAGTGTGATTTCGAATATTTCGAATATAAGCCGCACCCCAGTTTTCCTCTTGAATTTTTGGCAAAAAATGTGCGGCCTATACATGCGTAAATACGGTATACACTACGCCATGAAGCCGTACGGGTAGTGAAGGTACAGCTCTGCCGTTCCTGACCTGAGCACTAGAGGGTGAGTACTTAGAAGCACACCCTTGTAAGAAATAAGAACAAGGGAGAAGGTGAAGTGTTATGACCTATATTTGTTACAATTGACAGGGACCCCACAACTGTAAAGTCGGCTCTAGAAGTGTGAGTATAAGCAGAAAGAAGAGTAAGCTTCAATAATCCTAAAGCTGTCAGCTACTAAGCAACGTTATAACAGAGGATGCATTCGTAAGGATTCGTAAATAAATGCTATTAAACAATGTTTAGGTTTATAGTTGGCCGCTGGCTTCCCACCGCGGCGGTCCGGGTTCGATCCCGGGTCTGGTCAAGTGGTATTTGTGGTGCATAAAGTGGCGCTGGGGCGGATTTTCTCCGAGTACTTCGGTTTCCGCTGCCAATCTTTATTCCACCGACCCTGAAGATGGAGGCGATGCATTCCTCCGAAACGTCGGTTAATACCACATCTAC